GTGAAAACCCCACACTGTACCCCAGAAGTGCATTAATGTACATAGTTACCATTCAATAAAAAAAGAAAAAGAAAGAAAGAAAGAAAGAAATATTTAAACTTGCAAAAAAAAAAAAAAAAAGTAATACAGGTATTAGTTTCTCTGTAAAGGTTCGGTAGACTTCTGATGAGAAACCATCTGGTCCCGGACTCTTCTTTTTTGGGAGATTTCGTATAGTTGATTCAATTTCAGTACTTGATATAGATCTGTTCAGTATTTCCATTTCTTTCTAATTGAGTCTAGGAAGTTGGCATGCTTCCAAGTATTGGCCAATTTCTTTCTGACTTTCATATTTCTGAGAATAAAGTTTTTTTTGTATTATTCATTAAGGATTCTTTGAATTTCTGAGGTGTCTGTTGTTATTTCACCTTTGTCATTTCTGATTGATGATATTATGGACTTTAATTTCTATTTTTGGTTAGGTTGGCCAAAGGTTTATAATTTTGTTGAACTTTTCCAAAAAACACCTTTTTGATTCATTGATCTTTTGAATAATTCTTTTGTTTTTGATTTCATTTAATTCTTCTCTAATTTTAATTATTTCTTTTATTCTGCTAGGTTTGGGGTTAGAATGTTCTTCCTTTTCCAGTTGCTTAAGAAGTCCCATTAAGTTATTGACTTCCTCTCTTCCGTTCGCTTGAGGAAGACTTGCAGTGCTATAAATTTCCCTCTTACAACTGCCTTTGCAGTATCCCACAAGTTCTGATAATTCGTATCTTCATTATTGTTTTGGTCCAAAAATTTGTCAATTTCCTTCTTAATCTCATCTATGAACCAGCTATCATTCAGCATAAGGTTATTTAGTTTCCATGTCTTTGTATGTGTTGCAGATACCATTATTGGTGAGTTCAACTTTTATTGCATGATGATCCAAGAAAATACAAGGAATAATTTCTATACATTTAAATTTGCTGAGGTTAGAATAGTGACCTAAGATGTCATCAATTTTGGAGGATGTTCCATGGGCTGATGAGAAGCATGTGTATTCAGTTTTGTTAGGATGAAATGTTCTGTAGATGTCTATTAAATTCAATTGTTGTATGGTGAAGTTTAAGTCCAAAATTTCTTTGCTTAGTTTCTTATTGGAGGATCTATCCAACACTGTCAAAGGGGTGTTAAAATCTCCAAGTATTATGGTGCTGGAAGATATTAAATTGCTCGTGTCTGTTAGGGTCTCCCATATAAATTGAGGAGCATTCTGGTGGGGTGCATAAATGTTAATAATTGACATCTCTTCATGTTGAGTGTTTTCCTTAACAAACATGAAGTGACTATCCTTGTCTTTCCTTACTTTTGTTGGTTTAAAGTCTAATGTATCTAAAAATTAAATTGCCACCTCTAAAAATATGGAACGCGTCACAAATTTGTGTGTCAACCTTGTGCAGGGACCATGGGAATCTTCACTCTATCATTCCAATTTTAGTATATGTGCTGCTGAAGCAAGCACTTTTAATAAATTTGAATTAATCAGTGATTTTAAAAATCATATCATCACCTCAGTAGCTTTCCAATGCTTAGCTACTTAGGGGAAGAGACTCAGTGTTTGGAAGTTACTTCCATTTCCCCCTCTCTATTATTAATCCAAAAGTTGATCTATGTCCCCAGTGAGGTTCATGTGTTGCCCTATCCTGGCACCAGAGAAGAGTTAAATAACCTTCTCAGGCCTTAGCTGGAGGTGTCTCCTCACCTCTAATCTATGGGTATAGGTGCAGCACATCACTGGCCATTCTCAGCTGATACATACTGAAACCAGCCTGGCCTCACTGGCCTTTGGCATTATGCCAATATCTCACTAAAGATAATGAATTTACGGACTCCAGATGAGGATGCCCTGCCCTCTGCAGCTTCTTAACACACATTCTGGCTCCAGTCACCCAGTTCTCTCTGCGTTTCCCTGCAGCATCTTTGCGTGCTCCGTGGTTCTTACTGAAACTGCCTTAACACTTGTCTTGAGCCTTGCATCCACTTCCAATATGCAATTCCCCCTGTGTCATGGCTACTTAACCAGACCCACATTGTCCTGGCTCTCAGGACTCTACACATTTCGAAACAGAAAGTAGAATGCAGCCTCTTGTGCTTTCAGATTCCCATGTCTTGCCATCTGAGGTTCGTGCTGCTCCATCCTTCCAACCTAGCACAGGCCCAGGGAATGAGGTACATTTGTCCCCAGAAACCCAGGTAGTGTCTCTACCCTATGTCTAGTTTCCTCTAACTTTTCCCTAAATCCAAGTGTTTTGTTTACCAGCCTGTGGAGGGGGGGAGGAAACGTCTTTTTTGTGAAGCCCCACTTTTTTCTGCTCTGTGATTTATATTGTAGCCAAAGATTTTTTACTTTCTCAAAATTCTGGAGACCAAAAGTCCAACATTGGTATCTCTGGGCTAAGGTCATGGTGTTGGTCAGGCCACTTCCACATTTCTACAGGGAAGAATCCCTTCCTTGCCTTTTCTACCTTCTGGAGCTAATTCCTTGGTTCATGGTCCCATCCATCACATTAAAAACCAGATCATAGTATCTTCAAGTCCCTTCTCCATTCCTATCACCTCTCCCTCTGTGTTTAACCTTTCCCTGCCTCTCTCAGAAGGATGACATTTAGGGCCTGCTCAGGTAATATAGGACAATCTACTCATCCAGACCATTAATTTAATCACATCTGAAAAACTTTATCAGGAAAGTAACATCCACAGCTTCCATAGATGAGAATCTGATAACTTTGGGGGTCCCCATTCAGCCCACTGCAGTGTAAATAAATGGCAAGAGAAAATCTTTTCAAGAAATTATACTAGAGCTTTGGATATCTGTAAGGGAAAAAACAAAGTATCCCTATTTCACACAATATGCAAAAACTGATTTAAAATGAGTCATTATATTAAACATGAAAGATAAAACTATAAAGCGTCTAACATCAGTATTTTTAAAGCCTCTAAAATTAGAATTTGATAGTCTTCAAAGTGGCTAACAAACTCTATGACCTAATAGAAATATGCTAGAATTGAATGACCTAATTATTTCATTCATTTAATCAAATACTAAAGGGAAATTTTAAACATGATACTTTATACCTTCCCTATTACAAGAGGAAAGTATTCCAATTTGTAAAATATGTAAGCACAGGTAGGGAAGCATTATAATAACCAAATAATTGAGGATGTTAAATAGAAAAAAAAAAATCTCTGGGGAAAATTAAGCCAGGCAAGAGAAGAGCAAATAAATTGCATGCTATGAGTCTCAGGATAAGAGGCTTAAAATCTGAACTTACAGGTTCTTCTTAGTAAAGTATCATAAGAATGAAGCAAGTATCTACTGTGCTCAATACTAATATGAAGCCAGTAGACGATCTAATACACATCCACATAAGAGAAAAACTCAATTCAATTTAAGTGTGTGTGGGGGGAACGAGGGAGGGAAGAGTGCAATTGGGGTGCCCCCCCTTAATGGGCACAATGTAAGGGTATGTGGCACACCTCTCGGGTGTGGTACACAACTACAAGAGGGTCTCTACCTAACGAATGCAAACATTGTAACCTAGTTGTTTGTACCCCACAGTAACCTGAAATAAAAAAAAATATGACTTGCAATCTGACAGCATAAAGAAGACAAAATATGTGTGGTGCACAAAATAAAAATGTACTTCTTACCCCAAAGAATCATAGTTTTCCTGATACTGAGACTTGAGAAAAATTTCTCCGTGAGTCTTCATGAAGAGAAAAATGGATGGTAGTGAGCATTTCCTCAATACCAGCCTTTTGGTTGATGTAGTAAAGAACCTCCAGCACAGCATCCCAGCATGCCCCTCAGTGTAGGAGACAGACTACAAAACTCAAGTGCACTTTGGTAAAGCCAGTTCCACCGAGATTCAAAAAACTCAGCCTAGGTCCCAGATCTCTAATAGTTGAGTTTGATCTAAGATAAATGAGTGTTATACAAAAGAAAATTTAAAAGTATCTCCTCTTTAAATGAGTTTGAGAAACTCTAAGTTAGAAATGTCTAAGAGATTTGTATATTTTTCTACAAATTTAGGTGTAGCTTAAGGTCTGGCAAAACCAAAAGAGTATAACAGACAATTCAGTACAGTAATCTGTAGGGAAGAGAACAAAAAAACTTAGAGTTCAGAGAGAAGACTCAAGGCCAAAATGTGAAAGGGGAAGTAGGTGAGTGGTTTCTAAATAGAGATTAAATTCAGGACCTATGGATTGGGAAGACTAAAGGTATCTTAGATTGCTGTGGGACTTTTCAGAGCCTTTAATTTATTAATACATACTGTGAATTTTATTTTCAAAAAGTCATTATTTCTCATACTATCAAACTAATTTGTCTGAAATTAATTTCCCAACTATGCTTCTCAAATTAACTTTTTGGATACTCAATATGGAGTATCTGTGGAGGCAGATATTGTATCAATGATGCTTTGATTAAAATTAACTCAAAGAAATGATACATTTACACAGTGCTACAGCCCCTACTGAATTGAATGTTGTGTGTTGTAAATAAGATATGGAGGATGGAGGAGGAAAGAAGGTCAAAAGAAACCTCATTTTGGCTTGGTGTCTGTAGTTCAAGCGGCCAGGTCGCCAGCCACATACACTGGAGCTGGTGGGTTTGAACCCAGCCTGGGCCTGCCAAACAGCAATGACAACTACAATCAAAAAATAGCCAGGCATTGTGGCAGGTGCCTGTAGTCCCAGCTACTTGGAAGGCTGAGGCAGGTGCATTGCTTGAGCACAGGAGTTTGAAGTTACTGTGAGTTGTGATGACACAGCACTCTACCCAGGCTGACAATTTGAGACTCTGTCTCAAAAAAAAAAAAAAAAAAAAAAGAAAGAAAGAAAGAAAAGAAAAGAAACTTCATTTCTAGCATTCACTCACTTGTATGAATGGGAGGCCTAATTTTGCCTGGACTCTGTGTCAGAGCACATTGCATTTTTCTGATTACATGAGGCCAAAAGGTTGAGTTTCACAGTTGAAGAATAGTTACCAGTACATGTATCCATATGGAGAAAAACTGGTGTGGAGTTTAGCCAAATATCCACAAATCTGAAGCACTTTCCCCCAATAGCATGGGAGAAGTTGGAGAATCAAAGATGTTTACTTGGTTCAGACTAAAAACAATTTTAGATCAGAACCTAACAACAGCAACCAAAAAGAAAGAAAGCCTTTAGAGAAAGACAACATCTGCAAGACAGATAGACTGTGAGAGAATAACAAATTAATTCCTGTGCAAGTAAAAGCAACTAATTCTGAATGTGCAAAGCAACCTCATGGATTCCTAAACTTCCATACCCTGAAGGTTTTCACGTACAGAACAAAATGCTTCTCACTTCACTAAACAAGCTGTCTCTTAAATCAGATAAGAGCTGCCAACTCAGAGTTCCTGAGAGCCTGCTGGGAGTGTCAGTCTCTCTCTGACAGCAGAGCCCCCTTGCTCCCCATTTCGGTAGATACCAGCATCCTACCCGTAGGGGGGAACACGCATTGAAACACTACACGGGATTCCCACTACCGGACATGTTTCATTCAGGTGTTCAAGAAAGGTCAACAAGATGAAAGTAGCAATGTTCAAGGAAGAGAAATAATCCATGAACTTCCTCATTAGAATTCTGAGCTACTGTATTTTCTAAGAAATAGTATCCACTAGACTAATTCTTTTGTCTGGGCTAGTCTAGTCTTGCCCTGAAATCGCTAAGGGAGAGGCTTATGTGGCTTGCTTTCTAACCTGTAGAATTTCTAGCTGTTCTGACTTAAGGATGAAAAGAAAGATCTTTCTGCCCTAAAACATACACTCTACTTTTTGAGTGGTGCTGTTCCTGCCATAATTACAGATAGATATATTCCCTCAGGCCCATCTGTGGTAAATAATGAATAAGATGAGATCAAACATTGTAAGTGTGGACTCCTTTCCTTCCCAACTAAGAGTTTAAAAAAGCAGATATTTTTGGGAAAGGATTCATGAGAGATAGATACTGAATAAGGTATTGGAGAACAGCTAAATGGTGTTGATTCAAAGTAAGGAAGGCCTAATGTCCAGCTAAACTAAAAGCATTTGGTGGGCCATACAGTTCTACAAAGGTAGGGGGCTACAGCTGTGAGGTCACCCATTGTAAGGAAGGGAGCAAAAACACACAAAATTCAGAAAGAAGAGTCAAGACCAATATGTGGAGGAGGACAAGGTGGGTATAAAGACTAAATTCAGCATGTAAGCATTGGGGAAAGCACTAAAGATGTCCCAGATTCCAAGAGCACAGGCCAATGACGTCTTCCAAGATCAGTATAGTCCAGAAAAGACCAGTCAGTGTTGATAAGTATAGGCTCTCTGAGAGCAGTCCGTGTAGAGCCCAGCGCAAATGGGCGTATTTCCATGAGAGGGACGTCAGAACGTGAGTTCTGAGCCTAGGACAGCCTCTTCTTTCTTGCTTTTAGGTGTCCTGCCTGAGATGACTTAACATGGACTA